CGAGCCTCACTACTCGGAGGCGCACTGCCTGAAGGAGTGCCTGTGGCGGCGGCTGACGGCGCACACTGGCTGCCGGCTCCCGCACATGGCGTCGGCCGGCGTGTACCTGCCCGAGCTGCACGGCCCGCACCACCACCTGCCTCCCTGCACGCGGCTCGTGCAAAAGGAAGGCCCCCAACATTATGGCATCCTCCTTACTCCGTTGCGCGAGAAAGGCTGCCTGAGGCAGAGCTTCGAGTGGAGCCGTCCCCGCGCCGAACCTTTGGAGGATGACATCAATCCGAACACGGACGTGACGTCCATGGGCTTCAGCCACGTCCCGGGGCCGCCCCCACCACCGTGGGGTCTGGCCAAAAGGCCAGCGGGCGCAGAGCAGTTCGTGGCTGATGGCATGTTGCAGGATCTGCGTGGGTGTGACTGTCCGCCCGCCTGCCGGGTGGACATCTATGACCTGCAGGAGGAGCGCCTGACACACGTGAATAAGGTCACGTCTTGTCTTACGATGGCGCTGTTCAGGCTGGACCTCGCCGCCGAAGAGATTCAAGAGTGGATCGCCTTCGCCCCCAGCACGCTGCTGGCCAACGCTGGCGGATTCTTTGGCCTGGTCACAGGCTTTTCGCTGTTCACACTGGTGGATCTCGGCGACACTCTGCTTGGTGGGGTGGTGCGGAGATGGCAGGGCACACACAAGGTCAAGGCTGTTCGTGTAAACACTGGATGAGATTTCGCCAATAGCTCTGTAAGGTCGGGACGTTCTCTGACAAAAAGTGGAGAGATAAATGACGAATTGCTCTACACCAAACAATATTCACCATCAAGTGAAACCAACTCATCTCAGTGTCAGTAACCCAGGCAGCTGAATGTGTGTAGCTAGACGAATAGAACGGTGAGAGAGAGAGAGAGAGAGAGAGAGAGAGAGAGAGAGAGAGAGAGAGAGGAGAGAGAGAGAGAGAGAGAGAGAGAGAGAGAGAGAGAGAGAGAGAGAGAGAGAGAGAGAGAGAAGAGGGCGAGAGAGAGAGAGAAAGAAAGAGAGAGAGAAAGAGAGAGAGAGAGGGAGAGGGAGAGAGTGAGTTGGAGAGAGGGATATATATATATATATATATATATATATATATATATAACCGTTGTCGACCTCAGATAGCTGGAGACATCTGGAGATACCCCGGGAAGGACGTTTGTTTCTTTCATTTATGCGGCCCAAGTGAAGCATGGTAAAATTACTGCACTGAGCGATGGTGGCGGAAATGTCGGTGCGACTTATGCAATTTATGAAAAATTGTGTTGTAAATGAACACTGTGATGTCGTTGTCGAGCACCTATTCGACACGCAGACTGCCTTCTCCACGATGCGATGCTGAAGGGGATTGTGCTGGAGCTTCAGGCGCACGTCAGCTCGTGTCACGTGGACTGTGTGTGCTCGTGTCACGTGGACTGTGTGTGCTGTGTCGTGTCTACCTTGCGCGATGTGTCACACGTACTGCGTGCACTGTGTCACATGTCTTTTGTGTGCTATCACGTGCACCGTATGTGCTATGTCGCATGTACATTGTGTACCGTGTTACCTGTACTGTGTGTACTGTGTTACGTGTACTGTGTTTTTTGTGTCACATGTACTATGTGTACTGTGTCACGTGTGCGTTGTGTACGTGTCGCGTGTATTGTGTACCGTGTCATGCGTATTTAGTGTACTGTGTCACCTGTACTGCGTGTGCTGTGTCACGTACACTGTGTGTGCTGTGTGTGGTGTGCCACGTGGACTGTGTGTTCTGTGTCACGTGGACAGTGTGTACTATGTCACGCGGACTTCGCGTCGTACGCTGCAGAGCTCCGCCAGACCATGGAGCGTCTGCGGCCAGTCGTGCCTCGCACTTCCAAAATTCCGTCCGAAGTTCTTTCCGCAAGTCCGAAATTCTTGCTTGCAGACAACTTATAGCTCAGAATCTACCACGCCGATAGCTCCCAAACCCTACCATCCAGTACGCCATTTACTCTTATCCTCTTTTGAAGCTGCAAGTATAGCGCCATTTATAATAATGCCTTTTCCTTCATGTTTGTTCCCAAAGAAACGTGCAGCTTAGATAGGCTGGCCTTATAGGTTCAATTTCCCCTTAGCAGAGGTGTTGTGCCGAAGATCACGCGCTGAATGTAGACCTACAAGAGGGAATCAGGTATGGGGCACCCAATCGTGAAGGTTTGCTAGTGATCGGTTAGGTAGATTCTGGGCTATACGTTGTCTCCAAGCAAAAATTTTGGACACGTAAAATTTGACTTCTTTTGACCAGATCTAGTGTCACAAAATCTGGAAGTGCGAAACGGAATCACGTGTGGGGCATCCAATGGTGACGGTTCACAGCGACCTTTGCAGTAGGCTCGTAGATTTGAGTTGTCTGCATTTGCATGTAAAATTTTATTTTCGAGTTTTTAAGGCCTAAATGACCTCAGTTCAGGTCCCGATATTGCTTCACCATGGCTCGTCTCATTGCACGGGATCGATTGGTGTAGGTTTCAAGGCGATCGGACAGGCCGTTTCGGAGAACTTGCGTGTCTGCGTCATTTGCCGGTTTTTTTTTAGACCCTGCCCCTGCGCACTCGTTCTGACTGTGTCGTGCGCATTCCTGCCCGTTTTGAACCCGTCATGTTTGCCAGTGACGTATGTGGGAGGGGGGGGGGGGGGGCTAACGAACAGTGTGCCCGTACGACAGCGACCGCACGTTGTCGCTGACCACCTGTGATGTTCCCACGCGCCACAAGGTGGCGGTTTTGGTTTTGGCGCAGTGGTTGTGATGGTGAGCGTTAATGTATATATTCTGTCTTATCTGTGTTGTTTCATTTATGGACTGCACGTGGATGCTCTTGCTTCTGTTGACATTTTCAGCTCCATGGTTTTCTAGAGATATTCATTTTTTAGCTTCATTTCTACAACGTCTCTGTAGGACACTTCACACCTTCGTCGAAATCCAATAAAATGATCACCAAACTCGCACTTTCATCCATCCCTCTTATCACCTATCTTGCTCCATCCTGCATCCTCGCGACACCCCGCTTGTCCGGGGCAGGCTGCGTGCGTCAGCCACGAGTGGACCGAGAGCCCCGTGGGAAGGGGACCCTGACCGGGCACCCAGCGCGCATGTGCGGTTTAAAGCTCGGCGGTTGCCCCCCCCCCCCCCTCCCCCCCCTCCCCCCCCCCCCCGGCGCATGCAAGTCTGTCCCACCGTTAACTATTTTTCTTCCTCCCATAGCCCTGACATGATCATTTCTAGACGAAAGGGTTCTAATCCAAAAGAACAAGCACCAACTCAAGCTCGCTCGCCTGTCCTCCAATATCTGACGTAACCTAAACTGTTCGACAACAGTGGACCATCTCCCGTTTTTGCGCCGGTGAGGAAGTTGCTGCCGTTGTTGGCGTCGCGCGCCATCCAGGTTCGGCCCTTCCAGGGCTCACTCGTGAGCACTGCGCGCCTCCACAAGACAAATGGGCATCGAAAAGTCGCTGCGAAGTGACAGCTCAAACGCTTCATGTCAGCAATAGCACAAGCGGTTTATCGCCCACAAATATTTCTTTCCAACCACTGGACAACATTTTCACCTCGGTAAAAAATAGCTGATTTTGAGGGAAAAGGGTTCATTTGTCCTAGACACGTCCTAATGGAAACAATCATTTTGTGTTGCAGCATTGAACTATTTCGACCTGTTCTGTTAGTGCATGACGATCTTAACGACCCAATCCAAAGTCGCGCTCCTTGGAACGTCTGCGATTCCGTTCAGTCTGTGGAAAAACTCACTTTGCATAGATTGAACATTCATGGTTTTATTCCATGCGTGAGGATCTATTTCATCCCGTCCACACATACTAGGCCGAAGACCCATTCATCCATGCACCTGGTCCACGCAGTTAGCTGTGGCACGGATCCATGTTCGGTCTGCGGTGGCATCTACGTAAGATCTGAACGAATGTAACCTATCACGCTCGAATGCACTCCCTAATGGCACAGTATCATTAGTCACGAGTAACTGCCCTCAGGAATCATGCAGTGTGTATACAACCTCGCTAGACAAGATTGTGGCACAGTGGTGCCGAATGCGGTACCAATGTGGCGGGCGTAGTGGCTCCAGAGTCGGCCGGCTTCAAAGTACTATATTTTTACATCCCGCACTGCAAAATCTCGTTCTGGCGCCCTTCACACGCCGGTTATAGCACAGCGCTCGCCATCCGTGCGTAGCACTATAAGATGTTATCAATTTGGCTACGCCTGTGGAAATGGTGGTGCACAAACGATAACCGGACACGTCCACGGAGTAGCCGACTCCCCTCCCACCGTGCACAACACCCGTCCTCTGCCGCGAATTCAGGTCACTGTGACCTTGAACCATCCGTTAGGCTAGCCTTGGATAGCAATGCACTGCGCCGTAGTGCGTAAATAAGGCACTCCAGTATAGACGCCCCGCCCCACGCGCAGATCGAGCTCCACGAAGGCTCCATAGGGGCAAGGGGAAGCAAATGTGCACGTTTCTGCAGGCTCGAGCATTCTTTGTTGAGATCAAGGGCCAATCGATGGCCATCCGCGACTGTGAGGGTAAATGGAAACTGAAGATCAACAGCGATAGAATCCACATATATGCTGTCTTTCTTTCATTTCACTCGCATTATTTCTTGACCGTATACAAGACGACCATGAACGCGGTGCGCTTAGGTCCTTCGCGAATATAAGTACTGGCTAAAATGGCCTCACACGGTATCGATGCCTTCGGCCGTTTAAAAGAGCATCCCGCAAAAACGAACATTAAGTTCGATTTACCTTTCCTTTTTAGCTCATAATATGATGCATTATCGACCAGTAAGGGAATTAATCAATTTTTTATTCATTTAATTCAGTCGAAGCGTGAGCTAATTTCGTAATAGCTAGTATATTTCAAAAAATATTTTCCAATATGTACTGTCATTGGTGCCTAGAATCAGCTGATTCCCAGTCAAAACACAAACCAGCTGACACCAGCCAAAGCAGAAAACGCACAAAGGATACGGTGGGCGGTATCTCCCTGGCAAACGCGCAGTTCGCGCAACTGCCAGGCTACGTGCTCGTCCAGGTCATTTACGAACACTTCATCGAAGCGATGTCTGACGAAATCATGGCGGACAGTAGTGACAGGTCAATCGACTCAGAGTGTCACACTCTCGAGCCTGCCACGAAGCGACAGAAGTTAGAGTCGGTGGTCAAGCCAGCATTGAAGCAGGAAGATGACAAGCTGGAGCAGAGGCTCGGAGGGATCCTGTGTTGTGCAGTTTGTCTGGATCTCCCCAAAGCAGCCGTTTATCAGGTGAGTGTTCAGGTGTTTTTATATCTTGAGACTATCGTGTGTTTGCAGGGCATGATAAAGCAATGATCTCTGTGGGTAAGAACGAAGGCTTTGTATGTCTTGAAGTATTCAGGATTCATTCTGTTCACTGCAGAACAAATTTGTGAAAAAACAGCATGCGTTGCGTATCGTGTCCTGCTGTAAGGCAGTCCGGGTGCAGATAGGGAGGTAGGGATGGACGAACTCGATTGGCAAACATTCTGAGAAGATGGACAGGACAAACTCCGTTGTGCCCTGCTGTCCTTCCATGCAGGACGATAAATTACATATTAAATGCTTTAAATCGGTGGTGGCTCCCTCTGACCCCCCTCCCCTCCACCCCCACATTTCATTAAAAGGCGAACGAATTCGAATGAGTTGAAAAAATGAAACGCCTTTCATTTGACAGGAGAAATGTTTGCGATGACTTTTGTCCAATGCCCATAGAGCAGCGGTGTATTTTTTCATAAAAATTAGTGGGGGGGGCTGAGCGAGGAAAAAGGACGGAGCCTGTTCCGAAAATACTCTAACAGAAATGTGCTTCTCTGATTTGCCCCACTTTCTGTCCATGATTGGGAAGGTTGGAGGCCGGGTGCGGGTTAAAAACCCTCCTACTCAAGAGAAAACTACATCGCGACATGCAGAATACAGAGCCTACCCCCGTGATTAAGAATATGACGTAATATCATCAACGGTTTGCTTACATTGCTTAAGGCCTCGTTTCTCAATGCTCTTGCAAATAAGCCATGCGGCATGGTGTTTTGAACGGAGGTATCAGGTGGTGCAATATTTTTCGAAATATACTCAAGTGGTTTGACGCTCGCCAACAGGTGTGTACCTTAATCGCTTATGTCTGGGGCCCTCTCAGGCACTCTCAGGGAGTGGTCACTTGGGCCTGTGCCACCCCATTGGAAAGTGCTGTTTGTGCGGCGGCTGTGGAAAGCTTGGAATTAGGGCGCTCGAAACGCGTCCACTTTTATGTAGGCCAGTGTAGCACGTGAAAACGTAGCTCAGGGCGGCCGAGAGAAGAGGACAAGAGTTTCAGGAATGTCCGCGTGTAGTTGTACTGTGTACTGTGCAGATGACCTCCCAGTGAGGGTTGTGACCGTTAGGACACCTTGAATGTGACTGGGGTGCATTTTTGTTTGGGTGTCAGTACCTGTAGTCGAAACATAAAACTAGTTGAATTTTCTCAAACGTCGCGGCGGTTCAGACCCCACCGTTTCACTGCCATAGTTACGGTTAATATGAGGGCCGCTGCTGAGGGTTCCCACGGTGCCTTATCGCCCGAGTACGGAAGCCATGCGCAAGCACCAGATGATGCTTGGCGTTGGAATGGCGTCAACCTTCGCGCGTTGCTTGTGTTTGTGGATTGTATCTTTACATAAATGTGTACAAGCCTGTCGCTGCTAGTTTGCATGTTTGCATCTTTTAGAAAGTTCTAGTGCAACCCATCGTAGCCGAAGTCGTCTAGGATGGGGTGCATGGCTCAGAGGCCCCTCCTATGCAAAGCATGGCTCCGTCGAATAAGCCAGCAGTTTACACCTCCGTCGACGCTCGGTGCTTCCCTCGAAACACCGCCTCTGTGTGCGCCGCACGAGTGCCGGAGCCCCGGCGCCTCCGTACGCACACAGAAGGCCGCACGCAGCGAGGCGACAGCGACCCGCGCCGCTCCCGTGGGGCGCGTTGTCGTCCACCGGGCCGACGCTCAGCCACGCAGCTCCGGTACCTGGGCCGACCTACTGCGTCGCGCGCGGCGTGAGGGGCGGCGGCGCGTGCGGCCGACAGCCAAGGTCGCCGACTGACCCACTAACGCCCTCCCCTCCCGGCGGCGGTCGCGGCCGCGCTGGTTCGCCTGACACGCTGCCGAACGCTTTTCGGCTCTGGTGGCACAAGAACGTCAGTGAATGTAGTTGAAGGTGACGTATTTTGAACACTCTTGCCAAGGGATGATATTGAACCCAGCTGGCAGTGCGAAGTGTTTTGTGGGGAAGCGCATGATGCCGATGTTAAGCACTGCTGGGTTCGAGTGTGTGGCTCATTTCCGGGTCCTTTCTGGCCTTGTTGATTATTTATATTGGAATATGAGAAGGACATCCTCGAAAGACGAGCGTGTGACGGCAGGCAGCCAGAGCATGGAAAGCCGGGGTTTGGTTGAAGGAACGCAAGCTGTTTTGGAACTGCTGAGCTCGGTTAGGCGACTGGTTGAACTGCTTTATGTATTGGCTTGACGTGCAAACCGCAATCGCCACCCTCTGAGACTTTTCTACAGCCTGAGAATCTGCGTAAGTATCTAAGTCGTGAAAGAAGGTTGGAAAGAGGGAAGGACTGAAGGAAGCAAGGAAGCAAGGAAAGAAGAAAGGAAAGGAGGAGGGAAGAAATGTGCCAAGGGTGATGAAACCGGCAAATGTTTGGCAATAGCCTCTGCGATGGTAATCCAAAAAGCAGGTTCTCAAAAAGAAAATACGGCTGCACGGACGTTTTTTAACTTGAACCTACACGTTCTTCCCCTCCCCCCGCCGTGCTCTTATATGGTAACAATGCCATAACATTGCGTGGGCATGTGCGATGCCATCCACGTTATTACCCCAATTAGTCCATTCAGGCGTCTGGACGCGGGGTCAGGGGTCGTTTTTGAGGCGGTTACTCAGCATTTACAACGCTTAATTGGCTGTTGTTGATACGCATTGGGATGCTCAAACGCATTTAAGTCAATTTCACCGGAACGCCAGGGCTCGGAAGTCATCACTGCCACCACAGCGCTATGTTGGCTAGTTATGCTCGCCAGTACGTTTCGACTCAGTGATAGTGACTTGAGTTGGTGGCCTGCTGCGCATCGCCATGTGGGGTGGGCAGGCATGGGCTGTCGGCTTCCCCTCGTTGACCGCTGTCTGTCTCTGTTTCCAGTGCACCAACGGACACCTGATGTGTGCTGGGTAAGTTCTGCTGTCGTTGTCAGGCGGGCGCAGCCCTCTAACCTGAAGAAAACAATGCAGACATGTCACTTATATGAAAGCTATTTGAATGCTCAAAAACTGCTGCAAATTACGGATAATTATGTATACATGAATTCTTGAAATCAAGTGCGGCACCCCTATGTCGAAGTCATGCATGTCATGCATGTGTGGGCCGTGCCGTGGGGGCGTGGGAACGTCCAATGAGAACCCGAGGTGGATCGCTAACTTTCTTTTCAGGGATAATTCTGTCCATTCATCGCCAGTGGGGCAATGCGATTTCTCGCGAGACGTATATAGTCCGTGTATAGTCCGTGGTCCGCCGGGACCTCTATTTCAGACCTGGTCTGTGGGCAGATTTGCCTGTTTTTTTCTCGGCAGAATGCTAGAAGCATACCACGTGGTGCCAAAACACCTTTCAGGGGACCTCATTCGCCGACCAACGTTTCCACATGCGCACGACTAACGCCGGGGGGGAGGGGGCGGTGACCAGTTGGGGACGTCTGACGGCGGGGCGGGGGGTGGCCGGTTGGGAACATCCAACAACGCGAGGAGGTGGCGGTGGCCGGTTGGAGAGGTCCGACGGCGCGAGAGGGGGCCCGTGGCTGGTTGGGGACGTCTGAAGGGGCGGGGGAGGCTGTAGACGGTTGGGGACGTCCGAAGGCGCGCGGGGGGGGGGGGGGGCGGTGGCCGATTGGGGACGTCGAACGGCGCATGGTGACCGGGCCTCGGGCCTCGCCGCCGCCGGCAGGTGCTTCACCCACCTGATGGCGGACGCCCGGCTGCGTGACGAGACGGCCACCTGTCCCAACTGCCGGATCGAGATCTCGCGCTCTCTCGTCTCGCGCAACCTGGCCGTGGAGAACGCTGTCAGCGAGCTGCCGTCGCAGTGTCCACACTGTGGCAGACAGTTTCCGCGCAGCTCGCTCGAGCAGCACGGCCGCGACTCCTGCGATGAGAGGTGAGCGGGCGGTGAGAGGACGGGAGGTGAGAGGTAAGCGGACGCTTGGAGAGGGGAAGTGAGATATGAGAGGTGGGAGATGAGCGGGTGGTGCAACGGGAGAGCTGAAATATGAGACATTAGAGTGGAGGTGAGAGTTGAGAGGAGGCAGGGAAGGATGAGTGAGCAGAGATAAGAGGCAGGGGAGGAAAGGTGAGTGGTGTAGGGAAGGGGAGCGAAGTGAGATCAAGGCGTGTGGTGAGGGATGACCTGAAGAGGAGACTGTGCCGTATGGAGGGGTGCGCCAGGAAACGAGGAGAGCAGAAGTGAGGAATGAGCGCTGTGGAAGGGGCAGTGCGAGATTGAGAGGGCAAGGCACGAATGCATGGGATGTGAGCGGGAGTATCGCTGTGGTGCTGGTGAGCGCATGACTGGACTGTAGGGGGAGCGATGGACGATGTCTTCTTGATATGTATCCCTACACTGTTTGGTGCTGCGATATGAAGGCACGCGAGGTGAGGTGAGCCGCCTGGGCCGCCCGGTAGGCCGGTGACCTGCCAGTACAGCCGGATCGGGTGTCCGTGGCGTGGCCCTGCGCACGAGCTGACGGCCCACCAGGCCCAGTGCGTGCACCCGCACAACACCGGCGAGACCATCATGGGCGTGCTGCAGGCGAGCGAGCAGCGCCGCCAGCGCGACGCCCAGCTCTACGACACCATCTTCGACCTGCTGTCGTTCGAGAAGATTCTCTTCAACGGTGAGCGCGGACTGGTAACCGCTTCAGCGGGAATCCCGGGGGGAGGGGCGGATCAGGCCCGACGAGCGAAGGCTGGCGCAGACGAGCGTCTGCAGGCAGTAGGGTCGCGCTCCTGCTGTCCGCGTCCGCCTGCAGGCCCGGTGGGACGCGGCTCTGGAGCGTGCAGACACGGCTCAGGTGATGGCCTGGGTCGGCGCTGGTCGCCTCAGGGGTCCTCGGCCTCCGCCATCTGGCCAGGGCAGCTTAAGGACACTGGTCTGCCCACCATTATGTCGTGAAGAATCGGTCACTTTGTTACCTTGCAATCCATCGCCACCTGTTGGTCTGTGAATGACCATCCCTGTTGCGCCCTGAAACGGAGGTCTTACGCTCGATGCTGTCAATTAGTTTAGCTGTGCAGGCGGTGGCGAAGTTTGTTAGGTGGCGGGGTTTGTTAGGTGGCGGGGTTCGTTAGGTGGCGGGGTTTGTTAGGTGGCGGGGTTTGTTAGGTGGCGGGGTTTATCATGCGGAGCGAGCCTTCTGTTGAGGTCAGGTCTTTACTGGCATGGTACCTACCTGAGGCTGGTACCCATTACAAGTGCGTACGTCACAAGCAAGCGACTGTTATTCAGGGCATAGGAGATGGTGTGACGTACTTACCTGTGACGTCATAACTTGCAAATAACTTGCGGACAGCGTCTGACAGTGGGGAACGCGGCCCAGGACGCTGATTGTCGTGTGCGCCCGACAGGGCTCACACGATAATGATACACAATAATCAGAATAAAAAACACAGAGATGTAGTTTCACGAAATGTGTGGGGGGGGGGGAGCGGGGGGTCTGAACAATGGAAAACGCCCAACCTACCCCGAAACTGTGCCATCAAACAGGTTTCTCCCCAGATTTGGCCCACTTTCATCCCAAGGTTGGGGGGAGGGGGCTCCACCCCCCCCCCCCGCCCCAACTAAATAAGAAACTACACCCCTTGCGCTAGGTCTTGGTTTGCCAGCTGTTGCCCTCCGCTGGTGTCCGGTACTGATCAAACCAGAGAGCGCACTGCGGGCCCGCCATGGCCGGTTGTGGCCGGCAAGCATCCGTCCCTGCCACGCGTGGCCGGACATCATGCATCGATCACGTGACTCGCGCATGCACCGAGCGTCTGGCTGTTGATCTGGCTGTTGATTCTGCGATCAGCGAGCGCACGCTTGTGGGCTGCAGTGGTGGTGCGAGCTGGGGCTTGTGATCACAAGGAAAGAGCATACCTGTGCTCTGTCGCGATAAAGCGAACAGGAATAGAAGTTATCTGAAAGTATGGTCGTAGTTTTTGCTATCGGCAACGCGTGTGAGGGATGCGCGTTTTGCTCCGTCGCTGATGCGTCGTGTTGCAGATGTAGTGTATGCTCTATTCCTCGTATTCTCCGAAAACGTATGTAGATAGCCTGTTTGTTTCTCTGCATAGCTGAAGACTGTCGCGTCGGCATACGCCATGGCAAGTGGACAGTTCATTGGGTTTGATCCAATGGAAAGGCATGGTTCGTTACGGCGTGGCGCCGCCGCGTCAGACACGCGGCGTCTGGCGTGCTGCTGTGAGCCCCAGCCGTGCCCTCGCTGTCCAGGCACCGCCGCTGACTGCGCCGTCCGCCCCGGCCCGCAGACCTCCAGCTGAAGCCGTACCGCACCGACGATTTCATCCACAAGCTCTTCTACGAGACGAGCCGCTTCTCGGCCTTCAACTGCCAGTGGGTGATCAAGGCGCGCATCAACGACAACCAGCGTGACCCGAGCCAGAGCTGTGACCGCTGCATGACCTACCAGGTCAGCGCCCGGCGCCGAACGGCAGGGGCCCGAGAGCGGGGAGAGAGGGGGGGGGAGGGGAGGCGAACGCCCGGTGTTGTCAAACACGACGCTCTGGGCGGCTGGACTGTCGGTGTCCCTTGACGGGGCTTCCTCGTGCACGAAACACGCGGCGCACTGCAAGGGGGAATTGCAGCAGGTGTCCTGATTGGTGACACGTCAGTTCTTGCAGCCAACTCCTACAGTGATATCGCGCGATGACGCCACGGCGGTCTCTGCTGTTTGATCCCGTCCATGTCTTCATGCGTAGTATGGGATCGAACGCATATCCTGTACGCCGCATGCCGTCGATGCCTGGCTCGTCTGGGCCCAGTCCGTGGTTGGCGGCGCGTGCGGTTTGGTGTCCGCACGCCATATCCCGCCGTTCAGTGAGCCAGATCACGCGCCGAGTAATAAGGGCTGGTCCGGCGGACTTGGAGCGCGGGGTTCGTTCCATGCGTTGGACGGCAGCTTCGGAAAGGCTCGTGCTGTGCGGGAGTCCGGGCGATGTTCACAGTTGCCGTTGTGTTCGCATCAAACATGTCTACTGTTCGGTCATTGCTCATGTATTCAGTGACGTGCTGGGGAGCGTTTAGGCACCTGGCCAGGGAAAATATGCCTATATTTTCTTACCAAGCCAGTTTAAACATCCTAGAGACATGATACGTGCAGTCAGTATATAGTGGGATATACATAATGATGCTAACCAACGTCGAGCAAGCAAAAACAGCCAATCATAGGAGGGCGCGGTCTTATTTCGACTGGGCGGTCTGTTTGCGCTGATTGACGTCTGGCGTCCTCGGCACGCAGCTGATCTTGAAGTCGAAGACGAGCCAGCCGCTGAGCGTGCAGTATCTGCTTCTGCGCGGCCCGTTCGGTGATGCGCGCGTGGCGCCTGCCATCTACAGCCACGAGTTCAGCGACGGCCAGCCGGAGAGCGAGTTCCAGCGTCTGCCGCTGCCGGACTCAGCCGAGTGTAACCGCATGCTGGCCGCCCGCTCTGTCAACATCAGGTGGGCAGGGATCCGTCAGCACCGGGGGGACCTGTCAATGGGAGGTGGGCAGGGGTCCGTCAGCACCAGGGGCACCTGTCAATGGGAGGTGGGCAGCGGTCCGTCAGCACCAGGGGCACCTGTCAACATCAGGTAGGCAGGGATCCATCAACAGCAGGGGCACCTGTCCACGGAATGTGGGCAGAATAGTGTCAATGACACATTTGTAGGGAACCCCCCAACAGTAGGCGAACAGCGGGTCTGTCGAGACTAAGATTGTTTGTGAATGCAGGGCAGGCAGAGTAGTCTGTCACTGTCAGTTAGGGTGGAATCGGCCAGCATCGGACGGGCACATTCACCAATATCGGCATACCCTTGAATGGCATGCACAGTGCGTCAGCGGGGGAGGGGGAGGGGGCTCGACACTGACGCTCGGACTCCCAGTCTCTCCGCGCGAGGACAGCCGATGTGGCGATCTCGTGCTGAGTGAGCCGGCTGACAGTGCGGTCGCGCACGCACGGGGGACTCAGGGCGCTGGGGCGTCCTCCTTAGCCAGTAGGAACGACTCTGTGCCACCTCCTGGCTGGATTGAGGTTATTTGTCAGTGTACGATGTCGGAGGGGGTCATTGAGCTGAACCTCCATGCATTCACCCAGAGCCACCGGTTAGCGACGTCGTCCGCACCACCTAACTGGCAGGGAGACTGTGCTGATAAAACTCTCCGCAGCTCTTCGGGCAGTGCTCGTGCTTGTTTGGTAACATGCATTTCGCTTAGTGATTCATCCCCATACGTCGGCTTGCTGAAGCATAGACTGCTGCAGCGTGTGTTTTAAGTGTTACCACACGCTTTGCTGCTCAAGTGTCAATAATATCGCTATTTTGGTGCGTGGCGCTCGGTGTGCAATGATAGTAGGTTTGCTTCCTCGAAACGATATCCTTCACGCACACATCCCTCACATCATTAGTAGCTGCACAGCAACATCATGACCGACGTAGTCGTTAAGCGCTGCTCCTGAATGCTTTTCCACGGATAAAATCGCTTCTGAACACAACTCGCCCCTCCTTGCCTACGTACCGCTTCCGCATCTTAGCACGGCTGCAGCTGCGGTGCACCAGATAATGGTATTTTCGGTTGCCCAAAACATATCAGGCACGGGGTCAGATGCGTTCACATCGTCCGACGTGTGCCGTCCCAAAAGTGTACAAGGCGTGCCAGGAGCTTCGAAATCTGTGGCGCTCACGCTGCATCGACGTCATACGAGTGGATAGGCACACCGCCACCTCACCCATGGCGTGTGGCGCCATTGCATTGTGTTCGTCTGAACTTTCGCTCGTTTGAAGTGTACGGCTGGTCCCGGGTGAGATGCCGGCGATGGCGCTCGTAAGATTGTTCCCCATCGAAGCGCATTGTTGTAAGTGTGGTAAGCGTGCCTGCACGGGTCATTTCCGTTCCCAACATCAGCTTCAGAGGTGACCAAAAAGTTGCGTGCTGGTCCTGTTCTCGGTTGCGCATGCGATGAGTCGGAACCTTTGACGCTTATTCATTATATTATTATTATATTCATTATATTCGCGCGTATTTCAGCAATGGCAGTAGGTGCGTATGCGCTGACCCAGATGTGCGCAGCGATAGTGTCATTTGAGCCCATGTCCGGCAGGTTAATCATGTTCCAACTGAGCAAATGAGAAGCTTTGCCGCCGCCGCGGCCGGCTCCAGCTGCAGTGCGGACCGCCGCGGTCCGCTATCACCACCACCACCACCGCTGCTGCCGCCGCCGCTGCTGCCTGCTGACCCAGCTGCGTGCTGCAGCCAGCGTTCCTGGCGCAAGATGTGCCCCTCTGGACGGTTCTGGGAGCACGAAATACGATGTATGTGTGTGGCTCTCTCCCCGCCTGTGGTAAACCCACGAAATCTCAAGCGTACGTTTGCGGCTTTACAAGAGCCTGAGTAAGCTGGGCGTGGGGGCATGACGTCGCCGAAGCGCCCTTCAGTTCATGAACCTCGCTCTCTTGTAAGGTACATCGTTGGTTTCTTGCATGGTCGACACAAATCTCGGCATGTAGTGCGTAGTCGTAGAACGTAACTGCGGTGGCAAATTCGTTAAGAAAGGGTGGGGAGCATTGATTTAAAATGGCAGTGTTCGAAGCATTGTTATAAAGTAGTGATTACACATCTGGTTCGCATTTATTTCAGCTTCACCAGTAGAGGAACTCGAAACGTCACTGGTTGATTAATTAAAGCGTGTAAAACATCATTTTATGCCTGCGATAAATCAGCTTTACACAAGTTATGATAGAAACATTGTGCGTACAGTGCCCCGATTTTCTGCAATTTTTTTTCTTTTTTGGTGTCCTTGTGTGTCTGGCGCCAAATGTTTAAACATGGGCGTGGTAAATACCTCGTGAACTAAGGTCTGCTTGGTATCGAAGTGCATAGCCGTGGCCAGCACCGATCATGACGAATTCGATTCTAAGATATCGGCTAGCGCGCCGTATGAGACAGTTTTCTTCAGCTGCTTCCGAAGCGAGGCGCCGTCTATGAGTGCTTTTTCCAGGTCGTCAAGCATCCCACTGCTGCTGGCTAGGCGTTTTGTGCTTATCTCCGGCGACATTATGCGCGCATGGTTGAACCGGTTTGGTGCATTTGCTAAACGACTTTCTAGCCCGGGCTAGCAAACCATGAGAAAAAAAGAAGGCTGTAGATCCAGAAGACACCCGAAATCGCCGCGTATGCTTACGTTGCGCATGAAACGGTCGGCAGGTGAGATTCGCCTACTGTTCCGCTACATCTTGGCGGCCCGGTGTATTTTGTGAAAAAATTATCACTCTCTCCATCGCCGGCTATGGACAATGTGGAAACAAGACATCATGCTTTATGATAAATGCCGTCATGTATGGCCTTTGACCACTGCGTTACAAGTGGTTACCAGCTGCCCGGTTTAAGGTATCGTATTGTTTGACCTTCGGTTTCCTGTGTGTATCGTAAAGCATGCCCATTTTATCATTTATCAGAAGGAAGTGCCGCAGTGACTTTTTGATTCGGTTAAAGTGGACTTTTATCTTACTCTCGCATCTGTCGGCCCCAGTGACTTTGCGGAGGCGTGCATTAATTCGAATTAAGCAGGTATGGTGTAGATTATGGTGCGAGATTTGTTGGAGGATGAATAGACTCAGATGACTTAAGAATTGAGTAGTGAAGGTTTACTGGTGATTAGCTAGATCGATGTAGAATAAGGAAGCAGGTTTATGCCTCGTCTGCCACCAAGTACAAAATGCTGATGAAGCATTGATGTGGATAATGTTGCGCGTGTGCCATCTAAAAATTGGTAGCATCAGGACAAAACTACTGGTCGTGATATAGGTCCAACTGCTTCACTTCCCAGGACGTCTGACGTCTGTCAAATGTCTGCCCAATCCATTTGAAACACAGGACCGTGCGAGAAAAGTTGACGTAGTCTGCCGTCTTCGATTTGCACAGTTTGATGGAATATTTTGATCTTTTTGCTTTGTTAGACGCCGAGTTTGCGCGAACCTCCATGTAATGTGCTATGTGCAACCAGCAGCTGGTCGATAGTGTAAGGGATGCACGTATGTTAGTTTTCTTAGACCACCCATGGTTCAGGAACAAAGCTGAGAAGTGTTTGATCATGTATCTCATATATGTATGGCCCACCGCCATTTATTTCTCTTAGGATAAAATATATTTGTGGCTACGACTTCGGCATATTCTTTCAAACCTATCGGCATGGTAGGCGGTTCGCGGAGAGCAATGTAGGGGCGAAGGAAGCTCGTCATTTGGACGTATCTTTAACAAATCGCCCCGGCAGGACCGCTGTCAGCTCCGAGGCAGCCGGTGTTGCTGCAGCCACAGCTGGGCGCTATGGCCACATTGTGGCAATCGGCGAAGCTGCCGGGAGGAATCAGAATCTGTCACCAGTAATGAATAAGATTGTTCTGATTTGATTTTCGGCTGGCGTTTCAGACGGACGAAGCGACGTTTTGACATGCTCCAGTATGGTTGGTTTGACCGGTTTAAACATAGTTCTTGTCAAATGCGTCATGTTAGTCATATTGTAAGTACGATATTTTATTTTCGTGCGCGCCACGTCACGTGACCCCCTGTTGCAATATTGGGTTATGGGAGCTCCATAGGAGTTCCAGATGTCCACAAGTGACTGAAATACATTACCTTGTGGAAGCAGTGTCCGGAGCTTTAGCTGTTCTGCACCAGTCGCCTGAGCGCGCGGCCCGTCCTGTTGCAGCAATGACAAGCTCCACTTGCTTTTCAGTCCCTCAATGCTACTAGCCTTGTCCCGTGGCCTGCTATCGCTGACGTGCGGAGTTCGAGCTGCCTTGTAACCGTCCACAATCGTCCACTACTGATCTGGCCGCTCGTTCTCTCCTCTTGCTGCGGTGTCCGCAGCTTGAGTTGCCTTTCATCGGCGACCCTGTAAGGCTCCCCATTGCCAACGCTCTGGCTGCGTGCCTGGTGGGCAGATGGACGGCGGAGACACAAGCAGATAGAGGTCGTCGACGCAGGCAGGTAGACGCCAGTGGCACAGGCAGTTGGCTGTTGGCGACGCAAGGTAGACAGACGTGTCGACGATGACGCAGGCAGACACGTCGGCGGCCGCGACGAAGTTTGCTCCAACGATGCAGCCGTACTCCAGGTGGCGCCAGTAAAGCACGTCGTGTCAAAGGAAATGTCACATTTAAAGATATTGAGGCAAGCAGTAGATATAATAAAACAAGCTCGCCTGTAAGTAATGGTATTCTTCTAAGTAGAAATGTCATGACACTGCTCTGGACATCGCAATTTCGTCGTTTAGTAAATATGTTTCCTAGTGCGTCATTGACAACGTTCTCATACCTTGCACAACATTGATTTACAGCCAATTGACGGCCGATTGATCTGGAAATCTTGTCACGAACGCCGGACATTAACGACTTGACCTTTTTTAACCTGCATCGTCGTATGCTTATGGAATAACAGGACTCGAATAACATCACGAATGTCAAGGTGACCTTGCAATACTCTCCCCGAAAAAGTCTCCCCATCTTCGCAGGATTGTAGCTCAGAAGCCCGAGGGGCTTTAGTTTTAAGAAGGCTAAGATTGTGAAACGCACTGAATTATGGTCAACATGGCTATTTCAGCTCAAAACCCCATAGAAATGTGGAACAATCCATTTAAGTACCAGCAAACTTCCCCAGCACAAGGGTGGCGCCAAGTTTTGATAGAGAGGGGGACGTGGTTGTAAAACCATCACGACACTTGCGTGCAACAAATTGGGTGTTATTCAAGCGTTTAGTAGCTAAAGTTCTTCTAAAAAAATATGCATATACAAATAGCATGCGCGTTGCGTTGCATTTCCGTAAGGCATAGGGACGCGGAAACCGGGAGCAGGGCAGAAACTGAAATCAATGTGACCTTCCGAAAATTTTGCATTTGCCTCGTGGGTGTTGACTAGAAAGAGATAATCAAAACAAATATACTGGCAAAAGCGAAGCACTTTTGCATCACCATGGGGCGAAGCAAGTTTTCAGCCGCCGTCGCGCGCTGAGCCCACACTCAGTTGTGGCTGAACTGGCGGGCAGGGTCATGAGCAGACGCAGAAGTTTAACGATTTCACAGGTGGCTCCCCGCGCGTTGCGCCACACATTGTGAAGAATGGACGGGGAAGGGGATGGGGCTATTGGCAAATGTCAGGGAACCGTTGCCCCATGCCCCTCCGGCGGCGCGGCCCCTGGACGCATGCGCGGGCTTGGTATGCGCAGTTTTTGCGCCACCAGGAGTGAGATTGCTACGTGTTTGAAAAGAGCGAAGAAAAGGTTATTATTATATATATTATAAAAAAGTATATTATATATATTATATGTATTGAAAAGAACGAAGAAACGGATGAAAGGAGTCTCTTTAGATAACATGGGCTTCACGTTGTTTCAACCAATGCCCGACTGGTGCGAATGTGAAGCATTTTTGACCCCCCTATTTTCTAAGGTTTCCCATCGCAGCATTAAGATAAAACAACGTAAGTTCGGAACCCCGGAAGCTCCTAGCACCATTTCCTCAGACACGAAACCAACATTTTCTTCACCGGACCAAATGTCAAGCTTCCTCCGAAATCCTGCGCGTTTTGGACCAAACTCAGCCTGGTGTAAATCTCTGTATTGAGGGACCTTATTTCCCTTGGCCCCATACTTCGCCACCTCCTTCCAGTTTCTCGAGTATTGTTTTGCATATTGTAAGCAAGGTCAAGTGTTGACTTCAGAAATGATTACTTTTTAATCTTACTTTCTCACTCAGAAGCTCATCTTGTGTAATAGTTGCGATATCCAACTGCTAGAATTTATAGTTTTTAAAAACTTCGGGAATATGAGGATACAAAACATGTCACCAATGTGTTTGATTGGCAGTGATGCAGAGATCACTTCGGGGATATGTTCTGAAGCTAGTTTCCGCCAGTTCGGCCAACCACTGGTGGAATACTCCCTGAAAACCATTACGCGACCAGCTATAAGACCAAGGAATGTTCAAGAATTAAACAAAACAGGCACAGGCACATGTATCACATAACGGGATAGTTCTGCAATGTTTACGAAAACTGCTGACATCTTAAAAAGCTATGGGGTTATAATTTTTTAGGTTTTTCACTCAGACTGATCTCGTCCGGTGTAGTGACCTGCCGAAAAGGGGTTAAAAATGTTGCGTCGCTCGACTCCGACAAGGAGAAAGCTTTCGATATTTGTTAACTGAACCCCGTAAACATAAAGTAAGGATATAATGATACTGATATACAAATAAAGACACAATGATACTGTATTACAGTAAAGTTACGACAGCAAGACTAGGCAAAATTGTCTTTCAAATTTCCCGAGTGCCGTAATGGGTGATTTCTTTTTAAAAATGCCACGGTTATGAGAGGTACATGCTTACACACAATGAACACCAAATTTACGCAGATTTGTCGATGCATGTCTATTTGGTTTCTAATCCTATTGCACAAACACCAAGCTGGACGCGGTGATAACACGTGATTGCCATTGACGCAGAACGAACGAAGATAGCAATCGCATCTGAGGAATTAAGTGCATTGCATTGTAATTAGCACACTTCAGGCTCATACCATTCTTTATCTTTTCATGAAATTTAGTGTAATATCCAATAATGATGGTTAGCAATAACTAACAATAGAGTAATGGACATTAGGTTAACATCGTTAGGCGTCCAGGCACTTGTTTAAATGAACTTCTAATCCGGCATCAAAATCTAGGCGAGGAGGCACGGAAGGCATTACATATTATTGACCAATAGTGTGAGGTTGATTGAAACGCTGCCATAGCGCATATCGACATTGCACCAAATTGTCATGCATCACAAGTGATGAAGCTTTAATGAATAACTGTATTCGGCACGTGCTTATTCGATTGCTTCACTTTAACACGCGCACGGGTGGGGGTTAGACTCACCCCCGGAAGGCTTTTCCAGAATGGTTGTAGAACGGCGGGGTGTAGCTGTGCCAAATATTGCCTTGTTGTAGAAAATTAAATAGCGGACCGTTCAGTACACAAATTTTGATGTACGTTATAAGGTGGCTAACCTACGGCAGGTCAAAGTAAGGCTATGTATTATACGAAGTCAGCTTCCAGGGAATCATTCAATCTGACGCAATAACGGAGTATTGGACGAAGTCATAAATGTCTGGGATAATTTCTTGGGCAACACAAACAATTTAATAAACAAATTTCACTAACCAGAGGTGAGGTATGAAGGTCAGACGAAGGTCAAAACCAATATCTTTTATTACTTTAGGTCTTGTTGTATGGGGTAATTTCTGGTGCTCATTTCGAATTTATTGATAACAGGAACCACATTCCACATCTTCCATAGGCTGCTGAAAGGTCAGAATAGGCCGCTGACCTAAAATGACCCAGTTCAACATTTTGTTTTTTTCGGATCATACAGTCTAGCGTAATCCTTGTCGTTTATTCGAATACAAACTAAGCGCAGTCTTGTATGATTGTGGTCATCATGAACTTCGAACGGTCCAACAGGGTCACTAACCTTAAATGAGCGTGCGACCTTTTGCTCAGAACAGGTATCTATGTTCTGGAGACGCTTAGGAGACCAGCCTGGATATCAGCCTTGTCTGACGTTATTTGACCCAAAGGGCATGACCTAGGAACATACAAATTTTAAATAAGTGAGTTGAGGTACAGGCAAACACCCTTGTGAATTTCATGTCTCTAGCTCTCTTAGTTCCTGAGATCTCAGCAGGTGGTGTCATATTGACCCCCACCGAGCGAAATGCATCCAACCGGCCATCACGCAGTGTGTTAAAGACTTTCTGTCGTCGATTCAGGGATCAACCAGTGGCATTTTGGAGACGCAAAAATGCAGGATTACAACCGTTTGTGTTAAGTTGATGTTCGAACGGGATTATGCACAGAATGTCGAATGAATATGTGATAAATGCAATTAGTGAATCTGTGCGTGAGGTGATGTAAACTGTCACGACCCTGGCTGCAGTTTCGACGACAACGGGCTGCATTGGGCACCGTTTTACAAAATGCCGGCGTTCCCGGCTTGTCCGACGATCACTGGTACATCCGTGCCTCGAATGAAATCGTGCTGGTCACATTACTTACGGATGGTACGCTTCCCGAAGTTCTCAAACTGGATTCTCGCCTCCGCCCAGTCCGGCTGCCGAGCTGTGGCATAA